TTATCTTTCTTGCATACAAAATTCCATATTAAAAGCATAATTTTTAATTTCAACATTTATTACACCAGAATGTTTCCTAACTATCTAACTTGTACCGTTTTAAAGCTAAAAATTTGTTTAAAAAATTATACAATATTATTACACAGTATTCTAAAAACAATGTTCAAAATTGAATTTCTTATGCAAATTAACATTACCTAATTGCATAATCTGAAATGATCATTGAATTATTTTTTAATGAGTAAAGAAATTTATATTGTTAATTGATCTAATTTATCCTAATATTCAAGAAATAAACAGAAGTGGAATATAACGGGAAAAGGGTATATAAAAACTACTGTGAAATTATGTTTATTGAACATTTTATTTAAAAAAAAATCTTAAGCTGTTACAAAAAATCAAGTGATATGGCAATACACATTTTGATAAATACGAAATAATACAAAGCCAGCAGGAACACAATATTTGGTTATTGTAATTACATATTTTTTTCTGACTACTTTTCCTCCTTCTCTTCCTTCTCCTCAGTATTTTCCTTCAACGCTGGTTTTCCTGTTTGTTCGATCGTGATAGATCTCTCGTTCTGAGTCTTCGGATCGTCCTTCCTAGGTGCAGTAATGCTAAGCATACCGTCGGACGATAGAGTAGACGTTACTTGATCGATGTCGCATTGCTCAGGAATAATATACTTTCGGGTGAACTGTCTCGAGATCCAACCGTGCTCATCTTGTTTCTCTTCGTGTTTAGCCTCCACGATGACACATCTGTCTGCGACCTTGACGTTAATTTCGTCCGGCTTGAATTGCTGTACATCCAGAATTACTTGGAACTTATCTTTATCTGCCTTCACGGTAGATGTGCCTCCTCCTTCGGTTTTTCGAAGGAGTTCATTCCAAGGTCTGTAGTACATCAGAGGGTTTCTCGTCATTCTTCGATTCCGACTGGGCAAAACATACTGTTCGAGTATGCCTGGATTCAGCAATTGTTCAGGATACAGCCCCAAACCGAAGTTCTGATCGCAAAGCCGGTGCGGGCGTTGCAAATCTTCCCACCAGTCAGAGAATAGCAACGGTATCAGAGACATTTTTACTCAATTATTCGGTTTTCAATACGTTAAACAAACGTAGTACTTAATGGCAGATTATTCTGTAGAATAATTCGCTTTTAACGTTCACTGCAGCCAAACTTCGCTCTCAAAGGTTTGCAGTACACTGTTGCTACGTGTCGCGACGCGAGTATTTATACTGGAACTAGCTGGCGGTAGGAGGAGTAGCCAGAACATTCTGCATCTTCGGGTACATTCGAGAAAATACTATGTTACATTTATCTCAAATAATCCTTTTAGATACGTATATTGATCATATGCATTTTTAGCTTAAAAACACACGTAATAATAAATTTATTCAATACAAATGTGGTGATTAAGACAAACTTTTTACTACGCAAGCGCAACACACCCGGCGTACTAATACATTGTGCCGAAAGTCGTTATGTTTGTTTACAATGGCGTATATTTTATTTTTAAATGATTTTACTACACAAGAGATGCCTCTTGGATACTTTATTACTATTATCTCTTTCCTAATCACATAGAACATTTATGTACATAGTAAATGTCCCACGTAAATTATGTCTTCATTCAGTATTTTGCGATACGTGTATTCGCATTATGATTCATATACCTCTCCAATTACAAATTAATTAATTAGAATTTATAAAATTACCATTCTAAAACATTTGTCCATTCAATTGTCCGTTATTGGATAATTCAAAAATGAACAATTTAACAAACATTCAATAAATATTTCGAATAAACATGCAAAACTGATGTATAACTTCTATCATTTAAAAAATTGATTAATTTATAAATTATTTATTCCTGTTATCATCGATACCATTCGCAAAGAATGCATATGATATATGTATGTATAGTATTATCTTATTGATTATCCACAAATTATACGGGTTATGTAACAAAAGTATAATTAACTGAAACAAGTACAAAAATTGATGGCAATTAATATTCTTTGCACATCAGTTGGTGTAATTTTATTCTCGTAATTCTTGCATAAGTGTAATTTTGTGCCAGGAAGCTACAAAATTGAGTAAAGATATCAACAGCAAAAAATTAGTCATCGCTAGAAATTATCTACTAATATGATTTAACAAGTTCCACGATTTTCTGGATTGTTCTGTTAACAACAGTATCAACGACATTGCACATTTTTTTACAACAATGCCGCGATCGCTCAGAAAAAGTTATAGCCGCACTGTATATGTATGTACTATATATGTATGTGTGCATATAAACAAGCGAAGGCGTTGCTGGACGGTAGGAGATAAAACTTGTATTTTTAACACAGCCTTAGTCACGTACGCATTTAAAATTTTGCAAATTTTGAAACAAAGCATGTTTTACATAAATTTTTACTTTATCAAAATTTTATCATTATTATCGGAAATATACTCTTAAATCAGTATAATCCATATTTTGAATTGTTATAAAACTTTGTCGTGTTCGTACGATTTTTATATAAATATCTTCCTGAAAGTTCGCATGCGAGTAACCTTAGTATTTCAACGTATTGTTTGCTGGACTCGTATTCTCAACGTATTTTATTACTTCTTTAGAATCCGATGCTCAGACAACGTGCAGATACTATTAC